TAAGTAAAGAAGAATGAGAACGTTTACAACTTTTTAAGACTGCATCTTAACTTTATAATAATTATAATGACAAAGATTGTACAGGATAATGTTAAGCAGAACTTAAATAGTTACTCATTTGTTTTTCATCTTCTCTGAGTATGTCAAATTCTTGTTAAATGAGTTTAATTCCCATTGCAGTTAAAGGATATAGGCCAGGCACAGGTCAACATTTTTTAACAGCACGATATAAGTCAAGGCCTGTTGTTGTTGTTGCAGTTCTTCTTCTTCTTTTCAATTAGTATGTTAGAATGTTAGCCTACAAGAAAGGAGTTATTTAAAGGCTTATTTTAGTTTCACCAGAGGTTGTGTTGTAATTTATTCAGTATTATTCAATATTTTGTGCAGGGGAGTATTTCACAAAGCACAGTTTCTCAGTTTAGGGAAATAACTGGCCAATAGGAAAAGAACTGAGGGACATTTCTATTGGCCGATCATCATGTTAATGAGCCTACATTATCTGGCTAACTGAGAAATCCTGCTTTGTGAAACATCCCCCCACCCAGATTTTGTCTGGCCCATTCATAGTATCTACAAATTTTTCCTTTACCCAAATAGCCTGAATGTGCATGCCAGCAAAACACACCCATGTTACAATTGCGGAGACTTCAAAAAAATAAAGACATTGCAGGTGCATACTGGATGAACTGTTTTGTAATATGTGGGGCATATTAGCATTTTTATTTGTGGGCCACTTTTGGCTCACATGCTGTTTGGCAGTATGCAGCAATGCCATATCTGTGCCAGAAGTGGACCAGATCTGTTTTGGGAAATGTGGGCCATATGAATTTTTTTACATGTGGGCCACTTTTGGCTCACATGCTGTTTGGCAGTAGGCAGCAATGCCATATCTGTGCCAGAAGTGGACCAGATCTGTTTTGAGACGTGGGCCAAATCCACCTTTTCAGTATGTGGGTCACTTTTGGCTCACATGCTGTTTGGCAGTAGGCAGCAATGCCATATCTGTGCCAGAAGTGGACCAGATCTGTTTTGAGACATGTGGGACATGTGAGGTTTTTTTTTTACATGTGTGCCACTTTTGGCTCACATGCTGTTTGGCAGTAGGCAGCAATGCCATATCTGTGCCAGAAGTGGACCAGATCTGTTTTGGGACGTGGGACATGTGAGGTTTTTTTTTTACATGTGGGCCACTTTTAGCTCACATGCTGTTTGGCAGTAGGCAGCAATGCCATATCTGTGCCAGAAGTGGACCAGATTTGTTTTGAGACATGTGGGCCAAATCCACCTTTTCAGTATGTGGGCCACTTTTGGCCACATGCAAGAGCTGACAGTGTGCCAGCAGTTCCATATCTGTGCCAGACTTACTTACTCCGGCCTTGTAGTTTTTCAAATCTGTTCTGCAAATGAAGTGAGAGGGTCTGAATGGCAAGGAAGCAGGAAGCAGAAGCTGTTGCTTTGATTAATCATATTAATACATCAACAGTTTTGATGTTTTCAGTGCATGTTTTCACCATTTTTAGCAATGAAGTTGACAAAGTCCTCTTGGTTGCTCAGTGATTTGATTACTCTGTAGCCTACTTTCAACTCTCAGATTGAGTAATATTGACTGTGTCCACACGTCTGGGTCAGGCCGATGTTCTCCACACAAACTCCTACACCAAAATCCCCAGAAAAGGGCAGTCTTCCAAATGTTCTCCATGCTGCACAGTAGATCATTTACATTAGCCATATTAGTGTGTGCATTTCATGTTAAAGATGCATAAGTTCTTGCATGAAAAAGGATTACATTTACTTTATTCAGATGAATACATCTTTGCCAATATTGTATGCCTGTTTGAATACAGTGTATTACTTCAACACAGTTAGTGCCAAAAGCAAGTAAACTGAAAGGCAATGTTTGTGTTGATATAAAAATATTTAATTCGATGATTCATTACACATTTCAATTTGGTACATTCAGAGCATCACTATTTTCAGTGCATTTGAATTGTAATAACTAAAAACTTCACAGCCTTTGTACTTTTTCCCTTTAACACTTTACATAACATTGAAAACCTGGAAACATGTCGAAGACTTTTTTGTCCACTAAAGCAACATCAATGTGATAGCAGTTTATTTATTTGGTTTGTTTTGTTTTTTGCAACACTGTACAGAAAATTTCATGGAATATGTTGGAAATAAGGTGAGGGAAATTTGCTAACTAGTTTCATAATATTACATGCCAAATAAATATGGAATTAATGGAACCCAACAGTTCAAATATAATAATAACTACAGCTTAATCAACAGTAGTTAAAAATAGTCAGCTGTAGTTGACTATAACAATAACTATAGCTAAGTCAACCATAGCAATAGGTAAATATAGTCAAGTGAAGTTAATTTCTAGTTAATTAGTTAACAATAACTACAGCTAAGCCAACAATTGTTAAGTAAAACAATAACTGTAGCTAATTCACATTGTTTGTAATAAAGCCCATTATTTCTCAGGTCTAAAAGCAGGTTCCTATAGGCCTCAGAAGACCCCCCCCCCTTGTGTGCAGGCTGCTGTAGGCCACATACGCTCTCAGATGAAATTTAACCTCAGATCAGTTTGCAAATCCTGGTGTACAGACTCCACCATAACTGAAAGTCAGTACTCTGTACGTAGAGTATCTGATGATCGGGTTTCGTCCCTTCTATTCACCGAGAGAGCACACAGCTGTTTTTGTTACATCCCTCCTGATGCTAATGTTAAGCTAGCTATGGAAGAGCTGTGTACAATAATCAGTAAACAACAAACTGCACACCTAGATGGACTTTTAATTGTTGATGGGGACCTCAGTCATTCTAATTTGCGATCCGTGCTGCCAAAATTTCACCAGAATGTCTCCTGCCCGACCAGGAAGACAAAACTCTAGATCATGTCTACACAAACATTCCAGAGGCATACAAGGCTGTCCCCCTCCCCCACCTGGGTCAGTCTGATCAACGTCTCATTGTTTCTGCCCCCCAAGTTCATCAAACGTGTGAAAACATCTAAGACTGTTAAAGTGTGGCCAGAGGGGGCGTCTCCTCTCTACAGCATCGGTTTCAGAACAAGTGATTGGAGTATGTTCTGCTCTGGAGCTGCTACAGACTCTCACACACACAGGCTTAGACACATACACCTCAGCTGTATTGAGTTATATCAACTCATGTATTGACGATGTCATCTCTGTCAAGCGGCCGAGAATCAGAAACCTGGGATGAATGCTGCGATTCGGCTGTTGCTGAGGGCGCACAATGCTGCTTTCAGATCTGGTGATGCCGAGGCTTACAGCTCAACAACAAACTGTCTATTGAAGAGCATTTCCACAACTCCGACCCCCGCCGCATGTGGAAGGGCATCCAGACTTTGACAGACCAAAGACCTCCCCCACTGACTCCCCCTGCCAGCAGTGCCTCTCTCTCAGACAAGCTTAATCGTTTCTACGCTAGTTTTGACCAGGGCATTGCTGAACACAACACAGGGGGTGGACTTCCTCACAACGGCAGCCCCCAACACTCTCTCCAGCGGAGGTATGTTCAGTACTGAGCAGAGTAAATGCATGTAAAGCTGCTGGGCCAGATGGCATCCCCGGAAGAGTCCTCACAGTGTGCGCTGGACAGCTATCCCCAGTCTTCACTGACATCTACAACTTGCCAGGCTGCTTTTCCCACGTGCTGAAAGGCAACAACCATCATTCCGGTGCCAAAGCGTTCTTTTGCAGCATGTCTTAACGACTTCCGCCCTGTCACACTCACACCCAATGAGATGAAGTGCTTTGAGAAACTCAGTCATCTGAAAGCAGCGCTCCCATCATCACTGGATCCCCTCCAGTTTGTGTACTGCTCAAACAGATCGACAGAGGATGCCATTTCCACAGCTCTTCATTCTGCCCTCACCCACCTGGAAAATTGGAACACATACATTCGGATGCAGTTCATTGGCTTCAGCTCCACCTTCAATACACTCATCCCCACCAGGCTGGTCACCAAGCTCAGTGATCTGGGAATCAGCACCTGCCTGTATAACTGGGTCTTGGTCTTCCTGGCAAGCAGACCCCAGTCTGTGAGATTGAGCAGTCATATGTCCTCCACCCTCACCCTGAACCATTGTTCCACAAGGCTGTGTGCTGAGTCTTCTGCTCTTCTCCCTGTTTAGCCACGACTGCGTTCCTCTGCATACAACAAACATTATTATTAAATTTGCAGATGATACCACAGTGGTTGGCCACATGAACGACAATGATATATCGGTCTATAGGGAGGAGATCCAGCACCTGGCTGCCTGGTGTACCACCAACAACCTCTCCCTCAACTCTAACAGTATGTAACATACCATATATATATATTGTATTTATAGTATTATGTGAATATATACATGTATGTATCATTCATACATATACCTACCTACCTACCTCCCTCCCTCCCTCCCTCCCGTGAGGTCTGCATGGCCATATTTGCACATCTCTACTCTAGACTGGTACAAAAGTTCAAATCTTTGTAACCCCCACTGTAAATGTTGACTAATAAACCATCCATATCTTTTTTTTATAGCCTTTTTAGGTTCATATCTAAATGTTGTTATATTCCTTTGGTCCATATGTTCTCTGAGCACAAACTGATCAAACCGTGTGGCTAAAAAGTGAGCTTTTATCACTTAATTTGTTTAGTTTTGGTCACATGGGACTGCTGATTGCTAACAGTATGTTAATTCAAATGTGTAATGTTAGATGATCAGTAATTTAATCACGTTAGCCCACATATAGCCAAAACAAATTCAAATGAGTTTTTCCTCATCATACTAGTTAATTGGTGATGTGATATGTTCACAAAGAAAATTGGAATTTGTGAATTTCCAAAGAAATCCCATCCAGGCCTAGCATTAATTTTTTCCCACCTGTATCCAGGAAAACCACACCTCCTGTGCTGGGATTGGTTAGCCGTTAAATATTCATGAGTCTACCAGCAATCAAAACCCCACCCCCTTCCCTTCTGGTCCCTCCCACTCAGGTTCAGGCTGCTTATAAAAAAGCTCTTCTCCCCTCTAACAGTGAGGAGCTGCCTTTGGAAGCCCCGGATCCCCAGCATGAAGATCATCCTCATCTCCACCTTCCTCGGATGCCTCGGTAATGCATTAAAAGTGCTTTTATTGCCGCACTCTCTTTTTTTTTTTTAGCCTTCTTTATTTTTAGTAACTTCTTAGTAAATTCAGTGACATTTTGATAGTAATAGTATAACTGTTGAAACAGCTAACTAAAAGAAATCGATCAGTCAAAAAAGCTGAGTTAAAAGACTAGTTCAGTTTAAAAAAACGAATGTTTGCCAACAGTAAATGAAAGTGAATAGCCTCCATACAGTATTATGCAAAGACGGCATGCTGGTTCCTTCTACCTCACGTTCATTGTTATCATGTTTAGCACATTAGCATTGTTGGTCAGTCATATTTTTTAACCTTTAATCAGAATTATTAATTATTATTTTGATCTGTTATTGCAATATTTGGCCTTTTTTGTGATACAGGACATTTTAAAAGTGCAATATGTAAATGAGCTGCTAAAATGTACTTTGCTATTTTTTTATCATGTGATAATGCAACGAATATACATGTTGGAATCCAAGATTTTCTAAGTGAAAACAATTACATTAATAACACAGAGAAGACACTTCTGCACATTTTAATGCATAATTACTGTTTATTTGCTGAATTTAATGTACATGGAAAAAAACAAAACATAAATTGTGGCCTGTGCAAAACTTATTGCACGTTATATTTCATATTTTATTTTCCTCCAACATGTTAAATTCAGCAAATAAATAGAAACCATGCACTAATATTTGCAGAAAAAGTCATATTTAAGATTCTTCTGTGTAGAGTAAATTAATAACCAGGGTGCCCAAACTTGTGCATATGATTTTATAGGACTCACCTTTTCTGACAAAAGCAGTTATTATATATCAAAACATCGATGAGATTTGAATATACTGTAATAAAAGAAGAGCAGCAAACTAATTTGATGTGGAAATGATGTAAACATTGAATCAGGCAAACTTGATGCCGCTCTTTTTTCTGTGTAGAAGACCTAATCATAATCACAGTCACAAACAAGATAATTAAAATACAGATATTCATAATGTCCAGCCCTGGTTGTAAGTGTCTTGTCTTCTCAGCTTTGGCGCAGGCTGCATGGTCCGATCCAAAGATCAAATGGTGTTTAAAATCAGACCAGGAGTTTAGAAAGTGCACTGACCTCGCAAAAAGAGCACCAGAGCTCGCATGTGTGAAGCGTGACGGATCTGAGGAATGCATCAGAGCTATCAAGGTAGAACACCTTCAGATGTTTCAGATTTATCTTTATACAGTGTGTATTATACATGCTTATATGTATTTGATTATTTGTTCCTTTAGCCCAGTACTGTATGATCACAAACACTGAATCATTTTGCTGATCCACTAAAATGTAACACACTCCATTATTAATAGAGTATGGAATGAGCTACACCGTTTATGCTAACATCTACTCAAGATCTTAAACTTATAACTTCTTAGAGTGCCTTAAAGTTTCTTAAAATATCTGAAATTATAGTTGTGTAATGTCTAAAACTGGTGGGATTAAATATTTCTAATATTGGAAGCATCACCACTGTTGTAAAAATAAACATGGATATTTTATTGTTTGAGATGGTAGCAATGGGCACACATTCAACAAGAACTCCATAAGTTTGTTCTCAAATGTGTTCTTGGGAAAGGTCTTAAGAAAAAGTCTGCATCAGATTCATGACATGTTCTTAAAGCGCAAATGTTATGTTCCTGGGTATAAGGCCAAAAAATGGTAGTACAGTGGGGTGTATGAGAAACCACACAAGGTATTGCTCAGTTCAATGTGTATTTACAGTTATTTACAACTATTTACAAACAGGCCATCTCTCCAGGGGTAAGCCAGGCCAAAATAACAAACCAAACCCACTCACAAATCTACCTAACCTAAGCAAACCAAAATCAAACAAAAGACAGGCAACTAACCTAACTCCCTAACCTAAATGATAAACAGGAGAAAAAGATGTATACAAAGAAAATGGCGCTTATCCCCTTCCGGCACAGTGACAATGAACAGAGACACTATTTACACACAGTCTATCACACACTAAACCTGAGCTAAACACACAGAACTCAGGATACAAAACAACAGCAAAGGCCCATGCAGCGCACAGCCCACAGAACAGCTCAAAACAAAAGTCTCTCTCTCCACCCTCACATCTGGAGTTTTGCCACTCTTATATTATCAGGGACAGCGCCACCTAGTGACATGAAGGGATACACAAACATACATACATCATCTAAACCGCTTATCCTTCTGGGTCGCGGTGGGGTGCTGGAACCTATCGCCAGTCCATCGCAGGGCAGACAGACAGACAGACATACATATACAATCACACACACATTCACACCTAGGGGCAATTCAGCATTTCCAGTTGTCCTGACTGCATGTCTTTGGACCGTGGGAGGAAACCGGCAGAAACCCACACAGACATGGGGTGAACATGACTCCACACAGAGAGCACCCCGGTCGCCCAGCCGGGAATCGAACCCAGGCCCTTCTTGCTGTGAGGCGACAGCGCTACCCGCTGCGCCACCGTGCCGCCGATACACAAATAGACACAGAGAAAAACACAGAAAGAGCAAGACACATATATGCACAGCCATAACAGCAAAGGTTCTCACCTTTGTGCTCTTGAGTGTGTAGATTATGTTCTTACTTAACAACAAATCCAACATGAGAAAACACTGGTGAATGATTTCTTTTCTGAATGCTAGAATCTTTGTGAAAAGCGGATTTTAAGAAGAAATTTCTCTTAGAAAAGGTAGGTGAACGAGGCTCAATGTGTTTAACAGTGGTGGACGAAGTACACAAACCATGTACTTGAGTTAAAGTAGAGATACCCAAGGTAAAATATTACTCCAGTAAAAGTAGAAGTTCCTCCCTTTAGACCTCCACTTGAGTAAAAGTACAAAAGTAGTTGCCTTCAAATGTACTTAAGTATCAAAAGTGAAAGTACTAAAAGATTAATTATGACTCTGATGTCCTGTTATCATTTTTATAACAAGACTCTCTTCATTAACTCATTTCAGGTGAAAATACTCCAGTGTCACAGTGACACCAATATTTTAATAGAATGTCATTCATTAGTCTGACGCTGATGTCTATTAAAGTTATCAAAAGCATTGATGATTAGTGTGCTGCTTTGCACTTCTTTCGTTTTGACATATTGCGTTTTTATACACACAAAAGCCAAAAAGAACGACAGATTTCTCATAATGTAGTGAAGTAAAAAGTGAGATATTTGACCTTGAAATGTAGTGGAGTGAAAGTAAAAAGTCACCAAAAATGGAAATACTTAAGTACAGACACACGAAAAAACTACTTAAGTACAGTAATGAATTAGATTTACTTTGTTACTGTCCACCACTGGTGTTTAATAACACACAGTAAACAGGTTTGACTAAAAGTGTGCAGCGATGGTGTCCAACTGAATGAAAACTTGGTTAAACTAAACTGGCTAAACTAGGCATCAGTGATTGGCTAATGACATAACTGCTTGCTTTGCTTTAATCTGTAGACTCATTTCAGTTATATAATGTTATTTGTTAGGACGGTGCAGCAGATGCCATCACTCTGGATGGAGGTGACGTCTACAAAGCTGGCCTCAAAATGTACGACCTTCATCCCATCATTGCAGAAAAAGACGGTGAAGGTAATCCCTCTTAAAGAACTGTAAAAACCTCTAGAGTTGGCTGAGTTTGGAATTAACTTAAGGTGCTGATTTAACATATTTGACACAGGACATAAAGCTCTGTGGAAACTGGATTCATTCACCTGTGGATAGGCCGGTACCTGGGGATATTTTCCCGAGTTTAGGTGGTAACCTTGTATAGTCATGTCTAAAACTAATTTACTGACAGTTTAAAATACCTTAGTTCATTTATTGATTTACTTCACACAAACCACAGCAAAACACTAATATTTCCACATGTGAACACAAATGAGCTGTTAAACTTGTTGAATGATGTGATATCCTACATTAATAGCACATTCTTTGTACCTAACGCAGTTCCAGAGTTGCATCTGTGCAGGTTAAACACACTCAGTGTGTCAGATATCAGGCCTGTACAAAAAGCTGCCTGCAATAATACACATCTTAAGACATTCTCACACCGAGCCTCTTGTTTGTGGGTGGAGTTCCTCTGACGTAGCAAGCTGCTTGTTAAGGAACATTAAAGCCTTTGGCTTGTGCCTGCAGCCAAATCACAGCCGTGATGTTATTCCGTGATAACACACTCCCTCTCCTGTTCTGTTGCTTAAGTATAGGATAAAAAATCTAAATGAAAATCCAGACTTATAACCACTATTCTTGCAGCCTCAGCAGGAAACCTTTCCTCAAAAGTAGAACAGTTTCTTATAAAATGTCTCTCAATGTTTGATTTTTTTTACGAGGCTGAAGTCGCTTCTCATTCGCCAGCTTCTTGTTCTTCAGCAGGACAGCAGAACTGATAAACACACTGAAAAGACCATGCAAGGCTTGTCCCATTATGTTTGAATGAAATAGATATTGTACACATGCCATATTTGAGAGTAGGTATTGCTGTGCATGGGAAATGGTGGAATTATTTTAGTTATGCTGAGGTCTTTGAAATTTCAATTCCATACACTGCATTACACAGGCTTCACGAAAATAAGCCCACTTCCATTTTTTTCTTTTATCTTTAATAAGTTTCAGACTCTGACTCCTGTCACTACGCCGTTGCCGTGGTGAAGAAAGGCTCAGGCTTTAAATTCAGTGAACTCCGAAATAAGAGGTCGTGCCACACTGGGCTGGGGAAATCCGCGGGCTGGAACATTCCCATCGGCACGCTCCTCTCCACAAAACAGATCGAATGGGCGGGTGCTGAAGACAAACCTGTGGAGAAGGGTAAGCACACTGATCAGGAATACTGCTGTGGATTGCTAATAAGATTCCATTACCATCATTTCTGAATACTTCACATTAGTGGTAAAGTGTTTAGTAAATAAGCATTTTTGTCAATTTGCAATAACTTAACAACGTTAAATAGAAAGTGGGTTAGATCTTGGTTGCAAATTTTAGTAATTTATTACAATGCGGTGTTTGTCATTAGTTCTTAAAATCAAAGTCTAAAGGCCAGTTCACACGAGGCATGCTTTTAGATTTCTGAAAAAAGGGTGCATAACTGCCAACATTAGGCTGTGAAAAAGAGCGAGATATTCGGGCTTATTGGCAAATGGTTTACCCTCAACACACCCACACCCATATAACCCTACACCACAGATTAACCCAGTTAGCAAACATACTTAGCTCATTCCTACTTGTCAGTAAAAAGTAACTGGGCCGATTCCAGCATGTGGACTCGGCCCAAGTCCATTTTGAATGACTGCCCAGCTCCAGCCCGAGTCAGTGAGCCCATTCTTGGCAGCCGGTTCCATCCCAAATTGTCCAGCAGAGGCCTGGAGCATATCTTTTGATAACCCTGGGCCAGTTTCACTTCTGATTCTGGTCATTTTAAGTATTTTTATGTTTATTGTTCCTTAAGCAAAATAGTACATGGATAAATAAGCAGTTACCATATACCAGTAAACAGGTGTTAACCCCTTAAAATTCCAGGCGTATTACATACAAAGTCTCATTACTTAGTAATGTCGGGACTAAATGCGATTCCCGCTCACTCAGAGCCCCAACATATGGATGATTAAACACTAATCTGTTCTATAACTATATTTCAGTTCTTCAATTAATCTAATTGCTGGTTCTCGTCATAAACGCAAAATAAAATAAAGTTCAGTCAAAAATAAAAGAAAGTTGAATAAGACTTCAGCCGTTGAGTTCTTTTTGAAGGAAGGAAAAGGCCCTCTTCTTTTATTAAGCTTTAGGTGGCAAGATGGCTTCTGGACAGCCAAATGCAAAGTACATTACAGAAACATCATTTTTATACCATGTTTGGGGGCGATGAAGTCTACACTTCAGTTGGAAACCCTTATTTCCGACCGCACCTGTCCTTATTTTTAAAAACTTGCCATGCTCAGCTATCCCAGGCTGCCCCCATCCTTTCAAGGCTACCAATTAGCTCTTGCCTCTTGACTCTTTGGGGGTCAGCTTGCCCTCACATCAAGGTACACTGGCTTCTAGATGCTTCTGAACTTCAGGGACTCTCTAATGCAAAATCCCCTAACCTACACACAGCAAGGCCTATCCTTAGTGAGAGGATTAGTACACTTTTATTAATAAACTTTTTAGCATATGATTACGGATTTCATTTCTTATTGATTATAATAGTAATATATTCATTACAATACCACAGTAACAACAGGGACTTCACTGAAAACTGGCTGAGCTGTTCTTAGGCTGTAGAAGTGTGTTAATAAATCTTTGGGCCTGCTGGTGGGTCCTAGCCATCTAAAAGGTTAACATAGAAAATACCAACTAAACTGGTGTGTGCAGTACACCATTGTGCTTGATTATATGTATACACTCATTGGCCACTTTATTATTTACAGCTGCCTAGTATTTATGCTCTGTAGCACTGCACGTGCTACCCCGGGCTCAAGGAGGATGCTGGAGGCAGGGTTCAGGGTTGCAGCCATGTTTCTTTAATCACACACCAAATAAATACAAACTCAAACCAAAGATACACTGGCCACTTTTCAGTGGCTTCAGTCAGCTAGACTTTTCAGTCTTTCTCACTCAAGCTTTTTAGCTTTTCACTTCTCTTGCTGCTGCTTGTCCCTCTCTCTCCCGCTCTGTTCCCTCTCAGCTCTTTTTAAAAGGCGCCTGAGCCGAGAGGGAACGAGAGCTCGCCGCTCCGCCTCCTCGTCACCAGGGAGGTCGGGACTTGCTCCTTGCCCTCGTTCATCTTGTGGCTGGTACCGTTGTCCTCGTCCTCCCACCGTCACTCTCGTGATTCGCGTCCGTCGGGGAAGCTCGGGCTTTGCGCTCCGCCTCCTCTCTCTCCGTGCCGTCCTCGCCGGGGTTCATCGCTACTAGATGTTCCGGCCCTGCATTACTGCCAGCTCTCGCGGCCGTCCTCCTCGGGGCCCAGGGTTGGGCACATGCCTCATTTTCCATTTAAAAGGCCATAGGTGTGCCAGTAGGCCCAAAGTTTTATTACAGGTATTCAGGTTTAAAATACCAACTTTAATAGTTGAATAATAGTTGTATAAGCATACACGTCTACCAAATCCAGTAAAGACATTGCTTTTCCTAGCCTCTTTTGATACGTCAGGAGCAGGATGGACAAAGTACACGCCTTTGTACTGGAGTAAAAGATGACATGCTTTTATTAAAATATTAATTGAGTAAAAGTATTCAATCAGTATTAGTACTTGATTACTTGCTTTAAATTACATAAATATCAGAAGTAAAGTAGAAGAAGAAGTTATTCTAGAAGTTATGTAATTTTGATGAATACTTGGTAAGGAGACCCATATGGCCACAAACATGAAGTTAACTCTAATGTCTGCAGCCACACAGAACTCCTTAACAGAAAGTGTTCATAAAAATATTATAACTGCAGTAACTCTCAGTCTTTTTACTTACGATGGTTGAACAGATACATTGAAAGTCTTTCTTTTTTTTTCTTTCAAACATTTGTTTATTAGTTTCACAAAAGATCAAAAAGCATCACTGATTTGACAAAACCAAGCCAAGTATCCAAGTAAGACCAAAATAAATAAGAGAATACATCTCTCTCTCTCTCTCTCTCTCTCTCTCTCTCTCTCTCTCTATATATATATATATATATATATAAAACCAGTCAGCAAGGTTCAGACGCATGCGGATAAAAGTGAAAGTACAGGCTTTATTAACACTAGGCAAAGTCGTAGTCGGCGTGGATCAAAACCAAAAGGCGATAGATGATCACGAAGGTGATCATCACCACAGGCAAACAAGTCCAGAGGGCGAGACAAAAGGCAGAGTCAAAAAGGCAGGCAAAAAGGTCAAAATCACAAATCCAATAAACAAGCAACGGTACAAAAGGAACAGTAGTCAAACAAAACGAGATCGGGGTCAAAACAGAGTATAGCAAACCAGAGAAAACGCTCAGTAAGTTCAAGAGAGAAACAATACCTCGCAAAGATCTTAAGCTAAAGCCCGGGCTAATATACTAAACTAAATTAGGAATGCAGAGGAAGGTCCTCCGCAGAACACTGCCGCTAAGTAAGCTGTGGAGAATGTGCTCTGCCTAGGAGTGGTCTTTTAAATAAAACATATTCCTTGTTACACCCCTTAGACTAAGGATTGCTGTCTCTGGTGATGTAGTCAGGCAGGGTTGTTTGCTCAAGCTCACCTCTGCTTCTGGGTTGTGTTGCCAGGTACCACAACACATATCCCACACAGAAACCAAGATACACCCATTTGATTAACTGGAGAAATTACCAATCGGGAATACAGCAGATGAAAGGGTGAAAATTAGGAAGAAAATTATGAGTGTAATAATTAGTGTTGGTGGGTATGAAGACATGAAGACATAGTGGGACATTTATGGTTCAATGCTACACTGAAAAATCATCATTTTTAAGCACTGCAACTAAATGACACAAGCATGGTTCACCTCAGACACTTGTATGTCAAGTCACTGTATGTCACTGTATGTCAGTGGGGGAACTTGGTGCTCTGCTTTTGCTTCTCCCTCATTAAAAAGGTGTGTTCATTACATTTGTGAGGGAAGCTCATTGTTTGCGGTTCTGTGTGGGCATGAACACACTGGGATGCACTTATATAAACTAAAAAGAGTTATACACATTCGCTATAATGTATATAATGTGTATTTGCTATTATGTATATGTAACCTCCGCGTGTTATAGTGTTACTTGTCATATAAGCTATTGTGTTGTGCGACAAGCGCTCCTGTTCTGCCACCATCTTGATGCACATTTGTTTGGGCTGCAAATATGATGTAGTTCTGATTGGTCAGCCTGATTTTTAATGCATAGGTACAAGGCAAAACATCAAGCAGGCTCTGATAAACAATGCATGTAGTGTCACAGTCCATCAGATTCAGATTTAATATGAAAGAAGACATTAATGTAGGTGCATTCACTTTTAAAACTTGTTGTGTGTTTTTTTTTTTTGTCCATAAAATTTGGACTCTGTGTGAATAGAAATAGATCCTAGGTCCTGTATTAGGCCTTTACTGCAGTACTCTGAGTATTGTGTGCATGATGGATCACAGATTTGATTAATCATTGTCTATGTTGGTTTCTAGGGCTTATAAGTTGTCACAGGCATTTTTATGAAGTGTGTGGGTTTGTTTTTGCAGCTGTGGCAGAGTTTTTCTCAGCCAGCTGTGTCCCTGGAGCCACTAAAGGATCCAAACTGTGTCACCTGTGCAAAGGCGACTGCTCACGCTCACATAAGGAGCCGTACTATGATTACGAAGGAGCCTTCCAGTAAGAACTTCACACTGCTGCTTTTATTGTTCTCTGTGCAAATTACATCAGGACGATCCATCAGGTCTTGATGTCGCCTTATTATCACTCTTACCTGTTCCTACAGGTGCCTGAAGGATGGAGCTGGAGATGTAGCTTTTGTGAGGCACCTGACTGTCCCGGGTGAGTTTTACATGATTTTCCATTTGCCAAATGAAGCAGTTTGCGTGTTTCAGAAATGTATGCAATCATAGTGTGTTTACGACATTATTAAATGATAATTTTATATAAATTGCCCACAGCTAAACAATAGATTTATAATTTCAAGTGATCGGTAACCACATTAAAAAGTAAGCCGAAAATCTAAATATATCAGCCCAGAATGTCATGTTATTGACATATAAAAATCAAGTAATTACGCTGGTATTAATTGGCAGTCTAGCAAAGGTTATGCAGTCATGAAAAAAAAAAAAAACAAAACACAAAGATCAGATTAGAGTCAAGGCCAGAGATACACATGAGCGCAGTGGCAGCACAGAATGTGCACAGTCCCACCCTGTGTGAGGTGTAGAACGGCCATGAAATAATGGAGTTGTCAACAAGCTTGAGAGAAATTTTAAGTTATGAAGTCATGAAGAGATAGCGGTCTTAATAAATAAAGTTTTTTTAATCTCCAAAACATTCTAAAGTAATTCTACTTCAGTCGTGAACACACATCTGGGTACTGTTTCACAAATTTTGAGATCTTTGACACACGATTTTCTTTTGCTGTTTTTTTTTTTCCCCAGAAATAAACCAAAAGTAAAAAATCAATGAATAAAAACATTTGAGACTATACAATTTAGCCTATATTAAATGCAAAATACTTAAAAGTAAGAGTTTTCAAAAGACTAGTTAGGCTTTTAGATGTTTAGTCATTAATTAATGATCTGTAACAGGTTGAAGCTTAATTAAATTATGAATTGGGCTAGGTACTTTATTTACTAGTCAAACATTTTAAGGTGAATATATTTAAATATGAAGGTTTCACTGCTCTGTATTTGTTATATATATTAATATAGACATAATTACTAGAATTATCATATATAGTATAGACATAACTGTGCTTATTCGCAATGAAGTTCGAAGGAAATACGATTGATAACATTTGATAAAACACGTGGTTCTAAAGTCATTTTAAATGTTGTAGTTTAAAAAAAAAATAAATGCGATATAATTGTGTGGATACTACATAGAACATTCCGTTAAATCAATAAATATTTTCATTTAAATCAGTAAATATGTTAATAACAACAAAAAATATTAATAGTCTAATAATAATTAATTGACTGACCTATTCATAATTTCACACATGAAAGGTTTGATGATCAGACAAGTTAGATATTAGCGTTCAAAATTATTTGGAGTGCTTTTTTCTGTTTTATTAGTGATTTATTAGAATCACTAATAAACAGTAAGAACAGTTCATCTCCACTACATTCAAAACAGTTTTATTGGAAATTCACAGATCCATCAAATATACTATAGATGTCATGTAAACATTTTTTTATTTTATCATGCCATTATTTATTTAGAGTTCTTCTAGTTCTTTTTTGTGGTCAAGATCAAAACTGTCTATTTTCATTTATTCTGGTAATTTTGCTAAATATATATTTTTTGTAGGTATGTTCTGGAAAAAAGAGTGTTCATGTTGTAGCAGAGATGTGTAGGTTACTTCTATTAACAAGTTTCCTCTGAGTTTAATGTTGATAGTAACATGATAAGATGGTGATAAATCTGAAAAATAATTTTGTTAGCTACATGTTTCAGCCTGAAATCTTCGCAAAACTGTCATAAAACAACATTCAGGCATCAGGCAGTGCGTTTATGACCATTTCATGTAGAAACTTTCTGTGAGGGAGCTTTTAGAAGTGGACGTCTGGTTCCTATCACCACCACTGTGAACAGTTCTGACTCAGTACGTTTCTCTAGAACAGAGCGTTTCACACCAAACCACTCTGAACGACTCTGTTCACATCTTAAACATTTAACTATGCAGACAGAACAATCAGTGATATTCCCCATTCAGGGTTGTAAACAGTGGCAAGCTGACATTACTAAAAGCTGTCCAACATGTGATGCTAACTGCTCTTATTGGATGTTTTTAGCTGCTTTGAAGGGTCAGTATGAGCTGCTGTGTAAAGATGACACCAGGAAAAGCATCGATGAGTATAAAACCTGCCATCTGGCCAAAGTCCCCGCCCACGCTGTGGTGAGCCGGAAAGATCCTGCATTGGCTGATCGCATCTTTAGGCTTCTAGAGCCACTCCAGGTACACAGTACAGTTCACTGTTCACTACATATCAAAAGTTTGGGGACACCCAGATTTTCACATATTTTTTAAACAAATGTGCATGTTTTCTTTGTGGGTAAATATTTGTGCCGATATTAGTGACAGACTGCATTTGGAAGAAAGGCCGTGTACATTTTCTCCCCTTCCCCTTGAGTGTAGTCAGCACTCATCAGCACGCAAATCTTTCATTTATTTAAAACCTGTTTTTCATACCAAGGAAGATACTTAGGAAGATACTTTGAGTGTTGAGTGTTGAGTGAGAGATCTGAGTGTTGAAAATAAATATATACACGATGTGAAGAATCCAAACCCACTTGATACCAGGGGACTCAGTCTGTTGTCTGGACAAATGACAGACACCTAGCTAGCCTGTAAGACATTGGACTGACACAGTTTTATAGCTGGTGCCAAGATTAGATCCAGTTTATACAGGACAAGTAACAGATGTGACAAACATGACCATGTAGGGGTAAACACAAAATAGGCAGCCTAACATACAACTTCAGCACATTCACACAGATACAGAATGTATGACACAGCACATTTCACAACAATAAATTCCTTCAGATGTTAGCACAGAATTGATTATTCCCACTATGCTGCCGCAGGGGTTCTTTTATATTTTCTTACTTAAAATGTTTCTCAGTGAAAATGTGCTTCCCGAACTTTTGACACCTGAAGAATGATTTTATGGCGGAAGATATTTAATAAAAGCTGTGTGTAAAAATCAATAATAGTTACATTAAATGCTCTGCTCAGAAGAAATAAGGAACCAGACGTCCACCTCTAAAAGCTCCCTTACAGAAAGTTACTACATGAAATGGTTATGAATTCGCCGCCTGAGGACTGAGACACTGTTTTGCGATAGTTTTGAGAAGATAAGAGAATATGTGATGCTGAATCTGTTTGTGTTATACAGGATCGTGGTCTGTTCTCCTCTGGGGGTTACTCAGCTAAAAACCTGATGTTTACAGACTCTACAAAAAGACTGGTGAAGCTGCCTGAGACCACAGACTCCTTCCTGTATCTCGGAGCAGAATATATGGCCACTGTCCGCTCTCTGAAGAAAGGTGATCCACTAGTAGCCATATACATATACAAAGAAATATAAAGCTTAAGATACTGACCCTTTTCAAAATTCTGAGACTCCCTTAGTTATTATTGGCATATCTGTCAATACAGGCTACCTGGTAGCACCTGGTAGACTAAAGGACTAAGAAGTTTAGTAGCACAAAGGAACACTTTTCAGTACACAGAAAAGAATATCTAAAACATAAAGAAACTGGGTTTACAAGATGTTCACTGCAGACATACATGTTTGAGAACTGCCAATTTAAATTAACCAAAAAATGGATTCTGGAAAACATTTATATCAATAAAACCAGAAAAATGGCAGGTTTTAAGCCTAATAAGGAGGAGGTTTTAGTGACAAACTGACCTTTCAGATGAGCTAATGCTAAAGCTAACACTGGATTTAATCATAGCAGTGCTGGATGCTGAGGAGGACTCATCAGCAGCTATGTTAAAAACACTAGGTGATTTTTTTAAAGCTCCAGGACTGAAATAAAAACAGCTCCATCCTCCAGATGATCAGGATAGTGTGATTCAGGCACTATACATTTTACATTTACATTTACAGCATTTAGCAGACGCTCTTATCCAGAGCAACTTACAAAAAAGTGCTTTGTTTTTCTAGAGAAAGTATCTTTGCTAGTTACAAATAGGTTAGAGAGAAAGTCCTGAGCTCAGATACTGCTAGAAAGAAAAGTCCATGTTGATACAGAGAGATAAGAAACCAAGAGTGAGTTGCAGTAGTCGAGCCTTGAGATGACAAGAGACTGAACGAGCACCTGGGTGGCCTCTCGAGTGAGAAAGGGTCGGATCCTCCGGATGTTGTACAGGAGAAACCTGCAAGACCGAGCTAGGTTCACGATGTGAGACAAGGACGATATCTGGCCATCCAGAATCACACCAAGACTTCCAGCATCTTCAGACAGAGCAATCAGAGAGTTCTCAAATGAAATGGCAAGTTCATGATGAAGGCCTGTAGTTGCAGGGATGAGGAGCAGCTCAGTCTTGCTAGGATTGAGCTTCAGGTGCTGAGCTGCCATCCATGAAGAGATGTCAGACAGACATGCCGAGATGCAACTGGAAACCTGGGCATCAGAAGGTGGGAAGGAAAGCATTAGTTGAGTGTCATCAGCATAGCAGTGATAAGACAAGCCATGACAGGATATTACATCACCAAGAGAGCTAGTTCAAAGAGAAAAGAGAAGAGGACCCAGCACCGAGCCTTGTGGGACACCCTGCATGGAGAGGATGTGGACCCTCTCCATGTTACCTGATAAGAGCGACCCTCCAGATAGGACTTAACCCACTTCCATGCAAAGTCAGTGATTCCAAGGCTGGTGAGGACGTCCAGAAGAATTGTATGGTTGACCATTTCAAAAGCTGCTGAGAGGTCAAGAAGAATCAGGACAGATGACAGTTTGGCTGATCTTGCTGACTGGAGCTTCTCAGGCACTGCTATAAGGGCAGTTTAGGTTGAGTGCAGCAGTTTGAAGCCAGACTGGTTGGGGTCCTGGAGCTGGTTCTGTGTGAGAAAGAGAGACAGTTTATTATAGACTGCACTTTCATGAATTTTTGAAGGGAATGATACATTCCTCACTAACACCATTCACCATTTTTTACTCTAATAATTCTGACTGATTAACCACCACCGTCATTCTCACCGCAGGTTTGTTTTGAGGAAATTATGTGTTTCTTTCATTTGAAGGAAGAAGGAACATTTAGAGACTTTGTGATTGGCTAAGATTTATGTCAGCCATTATTTTGCAAACAATCAATTGACAGTACAAAAGTATTTTTTTTTAAATAACCATGCATGTAGATGATATAGGCATGTATTATTTTTTACCAAAAGAAATAATTAGCAGAAAAACACTACAATTAATTAGAGAAGAGCTCTGCAGATTACTGTTAACGAATAAAGTGCCCACACTGTATGTATGATTCAGAACCATTACGTCTGAAAGAGGTCAGTAGTAATTTGACTCATTACAGAGCCTAATAGCCACGAGTAAGGATGGCCTTACATAGTGCTCTTTAGCACAGTTCAGTTCAGTTGCCCCTTGTCAGCTCTTTTATTTACTGTTGCCATAGAGCCTTGGGCAATGGCCATTTGAACACTTACTAGTATCAGGGGTATAGAGTTTGGTGAGGTAGAGCATCATATATCATTATATGCAGATGACATAGTTTTATTTCTCTCCAATTTAAAGCAAACTATTCCTGCACTCCTTGAATTAATTAGCTCCTTTGGTATTATTTCTTGGTACAAGATAAACACATATCAGTTATAATGTATCTGCAGGAAAAGAACAGAACTCAACCGCCTCTGTTAACACCATTTAGTTCCACTGAAGAGGGATTCACATATCTTGGAATTAAAATAACCCCTGATATGAGTAAACTCATCACAACAAATTATAACCCAGTTGTATTAATAATTAATACAATTAAAATGTCTGTGTTACCAAAATGTTTTCTATCTTTTTCAGTCAATTCCTCTCCAGCCACCACCTTCTCTATTTAACCTTCTCAAAAAAAGCTCACATACGTGCCGCAATGTTTTATTTCATGTCAGAGCCAACACGAGCATGGACGTTAATTGAATCACATGATATAAAGAATCTCCAATTAAAGTCTGTATCTCTTCTCATCTGAAGGCACAACCCTTAAAAAACAAGCTAAAAAACGCTTTCTCAAAAATACAATATCCGTGTGGTATGAAATTCTCAGATTTCCGTTCTCTATAGTTTTATGGTGGGGAAAATCAAAAGAATCTTCTAACTGTAAACTTCAAGCCTGGAAGTCCGACCTAAAGGAGGAAATATCTGAGGAAGAATGGAGTCTGGCCTGTGTGAAGGCCCAGATGCAAACGCTAAATACTAATTCAAAACTTCTTCAATACAAATGGCTGGGCAGATGGAACATGGTACACCATTCAGACTACACCACATTAACTCAAATATTCCAGATACTTGTATTAAATGCAAACAGAGTAAAGGTACACTGTTCCACTGTATGTGGGATTGCTCTGTAATACAGGATCTCTGGAAAAGGGTAATCCACATAGTGTCATTGATTATTGACGAGGATGTTCCTCTTAGTCCTAAACCGTGCACTTTGATATATCATCTTGAAAATCAAATAAAGATATTGATAAAAAAAAATGCTATAATTAATTAGAGAAGAGATCTGCAGATTATTGTTAACCAATAAAGTGCCCACACTGTATGTATGATTCAGAACCATTAAGTCTAAAGGAGGTCAGTAGTAATTTGACTCATTACAGAGCACAGTTCAGTTCAGTCAGTCAAAAATGTCAAAACCGGTTTAAAGTACTTTATGATATTCTCATGACATGCATGTAAAAATGTAATTGGTAAATCTGTAGTGTAAATTTTGTTAGGTTTGTAACAGATTTGCTCTCCTTCCTCAGAGCGGAGCACAGACAGCACTACAGGCATAAAGTGGTGCACTGTGGGCCACGCTGAGCAAGTCAAGTGCGATATATGGTCGATCAACAACATGGACGAGAGAGGCATTTCCAGGATCGAGTGCCACAGGGAACAGAGCGTGGAGGACTGCATCAGAAAAATCATGGTACTGTAAGGCCTCAAGCACAAGGATACAGATTTATGAGACCACATAGTTTAATCTGTCCTGTGTTCTTTATGTGGCTTTCAAAATGTTAATGTGATGTTTAATTTAAGGGATGTCACTGTTGATTACATTAGTAATCAAATAATCTACCAGTTGTTTTGACAATAAATTTAACTACAAGATTAAAACAATAATAAAAATGGATTTAACTGAATAAGAACCAAGAATGCAGAATGAAAGACTCCAAAATACTTTACTGCAAAAAGAATTTCTTTGAAAAAGCTTTTAAAAAACAATAAAAATTATGTTGTTAAAATGCATATAATAACAATAATAATGATAATATTGGAATGCCTTTATTTAATAATAAAAATGAATGTAGTTTAGTTGATGTTCTTTTGACTTTAGGTGGTGATTCTGAATACGTTTTAACAAAGAACAGAGAATAACCTCAGCACTGCTTCCAGTTACAGTACAAAGTTTGACTTAGACTATATTATATAATAATAATTATTTCATGTTATATTTTACAAAATATGTAATTAAATATAGTATTATGCGTTTATGTATAAATAATGTGTAATTCATTATAATAAATGTGCATTTATCTATAAATGCATTTCTTCATCTGGGCTTGGTCTACTCTCAATCTTGACTAGGACTCGGCTGTAGTGGTCTTGACTACAACACTACGATAATGCTAATTTATGCTAGCGCCCTTATGGGATTCGAGTAATATGTTAGCACTAAACTAATGGCGAGTGACATGGACATTTTTTTGCCGTTCTATTTGTAGCTTCTAAAAGATATTCTGTGTTTTATTTGAAGCTTGTAACAGACATTATTAGATATCTGAGCCTGTATGTATCTGTTTTACGGTGAATCTTTCAGTGAAGAGTCCTGGCCTAGAGCTGACGCTGCTGTTTTACATTCCTAACAGCTACGGCTCGAATTCACAGTCAGTGATGCACCTAGAACTTCCAGAAGAACTAGAGTGTCATTTTTTCTTATGAAAAGTCTGATTGGTTGGTTCCTCTGTCATTTCCTAGTTGTGTTGGGAGTTAATCTAATGTGCCTTCAGTCCAGCTCTAAATGGGAAAGCTTGCCTGCACCTGGGAGAAAACAATCCTGATTGGAACATTTTAGGTACTTTTTTGTTTCCAGTAAAACCTTGAAATCATAAAATAAGAGTATTACTACAATACTTGCAAAATTTAAATACAACAAGCTTGTTGTATTTACAAATACATTCCAACAAACTTTGTTATTTCACAAAAATCATTAGACCGTCTCTGAAGACCCAGGATGCCCGGAGGGTTCGACATAATTATATTTTACAACATGACAGCCTTGTTTAATTTATGAGGTTCATTTTTTATGTATCAATTATTTGTTTGATAACTGTTGGAGCTTCTGGTAAAAGGCACATTTTGTAGTAGGTAATAAAAATAACAAAAAATGTCTTACCTGAAATAGTCATAGTCATCCGTTTTTCTCTCCTTCTTTAATCTTTCTCTCTGCAGTATCATGAGGCTGATGCCATGGCCGTCGATGGAGGACAGGTGTATACTGCGGGGAAGTGCGGCCTGGTCCCAGCCATGGTGGAGCAGTATGATGAATGTGAGGAACATCAACTTGGCTTGATAAACACGTTCATTTTTTTTGTTCAGTTGTTGAAGACATGGCAGCTAACTGTTTCTTTCTGTTTTTCTGTCTCAACAGCAAAGTGTTTTGCTGAAGGTGGTAAGTGAAACATCACCATGTTCTCCACAAATTCCATGCCTCTAATTAGCCAAAGTTCTTGGACAGCTGGTTAAAAAGGCAGTTTTCTGTTTTTGAATCTTATATACCATTTTGATTGCTTCACCCAAAATGGTAGTGTTGTCAACATGCACTAAGAACGGAAGCTAAAAGGGACTAAAAGAGATCACGATAACTGTTACCGAAATATATTTGATCAGCCAAGACATGTTTGGTTTACTCTGGAGCTACAAGGCTGATATTAGCATGGTGCAGTTAACTGCTAAATCATCACATATTCTCCTCAAAAAACAATAAAAACTATGTTGTTAAAAATGCATATAATAATATTGTAATATTATAATATTTAAATAAACATCCCCTGAGAGCAGATTGGAATGCTTTCATTTAATAATAAAAATGAATGTAGTTTAGTTGATGTTCATTTGACTTTAGATGGTGATTCTGAATGCATTTTAGAGAAGAAAGGAACAGAGAATAACCTCAGCACTGCTTCCAGTTACAGTACAAAGTTTGTCTTAGACTATAATATAATAATAATAATCAATAATGTGTAAATATGTATCAAATTATGTATTTAAATATAATATCATGTGTTTATGTATAAATAATGTGTAATTCATGACAAACATGCAGTAAACTATAAATTGATTTTAGGGTTATTCTTAAATAAATCTTAGTCTGGTCTTGGTCTACTCTCAATCTTGACTAGGACTCGGCTCTAGTGATCTTGACTACAACACTATGATAATGCTAATTAATGCTAGTGCCCTTATGGCATTCTAGTAAGATGTGTGCACTAAACTAATTGCGCATGGAGTTGTTCAGTATCCTTAATAGACTTGATTATGTGGTTTCTGACACTGTATCAGAACCAGACTCAGAATCAAGCTTTATTGGCCAGGTTTGCTTACACATACAAGGAATTTGGTTTTGGGTAGAGGAGCTCACAGTGCACAGTATCAAACATTTACATGTAGTGAATAAAATAAAATAAATATAAAATAAAATAAAATACAATAAGATAAGAGCCAGTTCCTGCTGCAGGGGCCTAGGCCACCAAGGGCTTCCCTGCAATCTCCCACTGCCTATATGGCACTGCACCGCTCCCCCATGCTGGACATTGCAGGTGGTGGGCCCACATGGTCTCCCCACGAGTTAGTGTGTGTCTTCACTCCAGACCTGTTCGCCTTGGGAGACCCTACCAGGAGCATATTGCTCTCGATGACTTAGCTCTGAAGATCCCTAGACCACACAAGCCCTTCTGCCACGACAAGGCCCCGATCCAGGAAGGGACTGTAGAGGGAGCTGAGCCATAAGGCGAAGCTCTCTGTTTACCGGTCAGTCTACATCCCGACCCTCACCTGTGGTCATGAGCTGTGGGTAATGATCGAAAGAATGAGATCGCGAATCTCAGGGTGGCGGCTACACTCTATTTGATAGGGTCAGGAGCTCGGTCATCCGGGAGGAGCTCGGAATAGAGCTGCTACTCCTCCGCATTGAGAGGAGCCAGCTGAGGTGGTTCGGGCATCTGATCCGGATGCCCCTGAACGCCTTCCGGTGGGGGTGTACCAGGCACAGCCTACCGGGACAAGACCCCGGGGTCGTCCTAGGATCTGCTGGAGGAATTATATATCCAAGTTGGCTTGAGAGCGGCTTGGGGCCCCCGGGAATGTGCTGGAGGAAGTTGCGGGGACAGGTTTGTCTGGGATTCTCTGGTCTCTCAACTGCTACCACGACCCTATCTGGACTAAGCGGTTAACGATGATGATGATGATGATGGTGATGACAATAAGATAAAATACAAAAAAAATAAAATAAAGATAAAATAAAACATGCATTCCTACCATCATACTCATATACACACACACATAGACAGTCATACCTGTAACCTTTACACTGTGTAAAGTATTAGATGTTAAAGAAAAAGCATCCAGAGTACCAACACACATATACGGTAAACCTTTAACTTTTAATACAGAAACAAAGTTTTATGTTGTTTATACTAGAGAAAATTACATGTATAAAAAATCTAATTATAATATCTTAAGCAGGAATAAAATGAATTAAAGTTTAATGTAAGGAAGAAACTCCAGACTGATTGGATTCCATGATACCCGTTTACTCAAAAGGAAAAAGACAGCCTCAAGCAGTGAAACTCGCCGGTAATGAATTTTCACATAGCTCTTGCCTTCATGTGTAGAGGCCAATGTTTCTGTCTCACTCATGCCCTCCTCAGAGGCCTCCTCCTACTATGCGGTGGCTGTAGTGCGTAAAGGCTCTGGAGTGACCTGGGAGACTCTGAAAGGCAAAAAGTCCTGCCACACCGGCATGGGCCGCACCGCAGGCTGGAACATCCCCATGGGCCTCCTCCACCACAGCAGCGGAGAATGTGACTTCTGTGAGTTCTGCTGACTTTCTGTTCAGTTACTGACTTTTACTCTATATTACTGTATGTACAATAAGTGATTCATTAGAACATCATAATTGTGGCATTAAATCAATATATCAGTTACCTTTCCTGCCACTATTAGTGCAAGAAAAGAGCAATGCATTGAATTTACTTGATTTATATATGAACATGAATTCCTACAAAATTAAATAGTAAAAAATAGTGAGTATTACAGCAGAAACACCATTTAACAAATCTTTCTCAATCACATATATTGGCTGGCTTTTGTTTTATGTTTCTGAATGACTTTTGTTTCTGTTCTCCTTCCACAGCTAAGTACTTCAGTCAGAGTTGTGCTCCTGGTGCTGATCCTAAGTCCAGCCTGTGCGCTCTGTGCAAGGGCAATGGTAAATTTTTTGGGAGCGAGGAAGTCAAATGCAGGGCCAGTGCAGAGGAGCTTTACTACGGCTTCGCTGGAGCCTTTCGGTACGATTTAGATGAAAAAAATATTCCTTTGAAAGACATTAAAGGGATCATGAAATATTGAACTTTCCACAGTTTTCCAAATTTGAAAGACTAATTATGTACCATATAAACACTGAAATGTATTCGAAGCATACCATTCACTCTCCAGTCCATACTGTCCACATATGGAGATTGCAAAAAAAAGCGTTTGGATTTTGATTTCACAACTATTTATTTCTTTAACTACATTTGACCACACAGATGCCCAGGGACGTAGCAGCCCTTTTAAGAGTGAGGGGACACGGTTGTACTGTAGTGACACTATATTGCCAAAAGTATTTATTCGTCTGCCTTCACATGCATATGAAATTGAGTGAGATCTCATTCTTAATCCATAGGGTTTAATATGATGTTGGCCCACCCTTTGCAGCTATAACAGCTTCAACTTATCTGGGAAGGCTTTCCACAAGGCTTAGGAGTGTGTTTATGGGAATTTTGACCATTCTTCCAGAAGCGCATTTATGTAATTAGTTACTGTACTTAAGTAGTTTTTTTGTATATCTGTACTTTACTGAAGTTTTTCCATTTTGGGTGACTTTTTACTTTCACTCCACTACATTTCAAAGTCAAATATCTTACTTTTTACTCCACTACATATAAAAACGTAACATGTGAAAACGAAAGAAGCGCAAAACAAGAACACCAATCAGGGCACAGCGGTCACTTTGTTTTGAGCTTGTTTTGACCTGTTGGTCATACCGACCCAGTGCAAGCATACAGTTCAACATCAGTGCAGCAGCGTAACATTTTGGGAGAGTCTATTCAATATAAATGATGAACTAACCTAACTTTGTGTAAATAGACCACAATATAGAAATATGTACTCATATGCAGTTGTGACTGATGTGTCTTTTTTCTGAATTTATACAAACACTTTCATTTTATAGTAAATTTGTTTTTTGCTAGTTTATGTTTATGAACAGAGACCTACAGATGCAGTTTAGTAAAGGAAGCTCATTTGTGAATCTGAGTTTAAAGTTTTTATTCAACTTAAACTTGTAACTAAGTTGTTAATAAATCTTAAACTCAAGCTTTGCTTGTTTGTAAAAAGTTATTTCAGAGCCACTCAGTTCTACCTGAGTTGTTTTGTGCTTATGATAATTTTAATAGACATCAGCGTCACTAATTAATGACATTCTATTAAAAGACTGCTTTACCAAGAGAGACACTGGAGTATTTTCACCTGAAATGAGTTAATGAAGCAGAGTCTTGTTACAGAAATGGTAATAGAACATCAGAGTCATAATTAATCTTTTAGTACTTTTACTTTTGATACTTAAGTACATTTGAAGGCAAATACTTTTGTACTTTTACTCAAATGGAGGTCTAAAGGGAGGAACTTCTACTTTTACTGGAGTAATATTTTACCTTGGGTATCTCTACTTTAACTCAAGTACATGATTTGTGTACTTTGTCCACCACTGGCATCCGCTGACTCTGCGCTGTTGGAATGCCTCAATTCAATGATTTGGATGGGTGGATGAATACTTTTGGCAATATAGTGTATGTTTTCATTATCTGAAGACACCCGAAACATCGTTCAGCCTCAGCTGAGGACACAGGAACAATCAGAAGCAATGTGACATGTGTTAGTGACAAGTAAACAGGACATGTACTCTTGGACACATTTCTTGAAGAACACATGTTGCTTCACTGCTGGACTGTATAATATTTTATGTCTACAATAAACCCCCTCTTTAAGGGGGAGCGTACACTCATGAGACTATAAGTACTGTTTATTGTTGTTTATTGTTGTTGTTCATAGTTGGAGATGTGTGGTATGTGTTATTTGCTTTTTGGCTCTGGGGATATTGACCTCCCCTGCAGTTCCGGCGGTGATGGCAAATTTTGCATTCTGTTCATTAAAGAGCAGAAATGAGGGGCTCTTCATCTAAATGACGCCATAATACGCTGCTATTTGTACTTCTAAAAATGCTTTCTGGGTACATATGCACCACATCATCCACCACTCCGTTATCAGCACAGTTTCCAGATTTCTTATCATATGAAACCCTTCCTGCTCAAATTGTTCTATAAATTACAAATCAACAACATAGAGTACTGTGAAAAACTCTGCTCTGTAATACTCAGATAGGGATGAATGCAACAATGTTGAAAAAGCATTCAACTCTCAGAGTCGGTGGCCAAGAATCAATCTTGACTCCTGGTCACGCCAGAGTTGAAGAACCAACTCTTTTGGAGTCGACACATCACTAGTAGCCATCAGTCCATTTGCGCAGTCCAGCAACCTTTCCCAAAAATTCAAGAATGCTTGAGGTAGCATTATACAAACACATCCCACTATTATAGTTGTGTTAATATCGGCAAATACTATAAAACAAATTTTATACGAATAGTAACGCAGACGTACTTTGCTCTGTTTTACGTTTTAGCTCAACTATGGCTGCTTTTCTCACATCTCCAGCAGGAAACTTTTCTAAAAGCGGAATAGTTTCTTGTAAAATGTCTCTCAACATTTGATTCTTTACAAGGCAGAAGTCAGCTTCTCATTCGCCAGCTTCTTATTCGAATTTTCCTGCTTCACCATAACCCTTGTGTGGTGTTGATGTGTTTGTGACTTAGTGGTCTGGTGGACCCACCACATTATTGTTTTTTTAAATCAATACAGCCACAACAATTTATGTAAACATACCACATGTTTAAAATATCACAAGTGGCCAGCGTAGGGTTCTCCTTTAGCAGCTGTAGCCAGTCAGCAGCCTGTCCATGTTGTCCACCCTCAAACACACACACACAGAGACACACACATACACACACACTAACAGCAGGCCATGTAGGAGGAGACCCACAGACCTGAACATCACACAAGGGTTAATTTGGTGCAGCAGGCACCATTTAAGTGTAATGGTAAATTTGAACGAGAAGCTGGTGAATGAGAAACCGACTTCAGATTAAACGTATCAGGAAACCAGCTGGAGTGATTATAAACGCAAATAAGTCCATTCGTCTAATAATCATCGATGTTTGTCTTAAATCTTTCTCTTTGCTGTTACGTTAGCTACTAGCTAGGTGACACTGTGTTGCTATGGTGACCAGCACTCTGCGCTGATCTTCAGGGTTAAAGGGTGAATTAGCAGTTCTACATTAACTCCAGAGTTTAAGACCATTTATTGTTAAACTGTGTTGAACGATCAGCAGAGCTTTATTTTACTGTAAAGCAGGATTATTTTATTTTTACCTACAAATCTGATTCTGCTGTGAAGTAACCAATACCTTTAGAAATGCTATTTATCTTGAAAGTATGTTTTTTTTCCCAGTGCTTTGTGGTTACCAGTCACAAGTTCAATTCAGGAAAAGTGTAATGTGTAAAGAGCAGGAGAATCACTTGAGACAGTGTCATGTCCCCCTGTGTCCCCTATATCTGCTACACCCTTGCAGATGCCCCATTCAGCCTACAGCAGTTTAACCCCACCTACGCAGCCTATAGTAGTTTAGCCCCGCCCATTCGGCCTGCAGCCGTTAGTCCCGTCATTCAGCCTAAAGCACTTTGGCACTGTCCAGTGAGCCTACAGGAGTTTAAAACTACGCATTCAGCCTACAGCTGTTGAAGCAGTTAGCCTATAGCTGTGTAGCTCTGCCCATTTGGCATACAGCAATTTAGCCCCACACATTCAGCCTACAGTGGTCGTTCATGCAGACAGTCTATGCGTTAATGGAAAATGTGGGAAAACAATTGAATGTTTGGCGGTTATTGTATTGTTATAATTAAACCATACAATTGCTATAAGGGGACATCAGGGACGAAAATACACAAAAATGTAGAATATGGCTCCTTTAGGGTCTCCCTATAGCAATGTACCATAATCTGTGACAACTGAGGCTGGTATCTGATGAAGTTTATGGTGTCCATTTTACAATCTTACAGCTGTCTGGCTGAGGGTGCTGGTGATGTGGCCTTTGTTAAGCACACTACTGTAGAGGAAAATACAGATGGTGAGTCTGTGGATTCATTCATAGTAATGGTTCATTAATTATTGTTGTGTTTTATTCATTTTTAAGAGCCCTCCTCTTCTGTACTGGAATCTGAAATTACCTTTTTCACTTTCTGAAAGTCCCCCATGTGTCTTTCATTCTTTCTCTAGGCAAGGGTCCAGACTGGGTTTCCAGACTGAAATCAAGAGACTTTGAGCTGATCTGCCCTGGAGGTTCTGCTCCTGTCTCAGACTTCGTCAGGTGTAACCTTGGCATGGTTCCAGCTCATGCTGTTGTAACTCGCCCTGAGTCACGTGGTGAAGTGGTGGCCGTTCTCAAGCGGCAGCAGGTAAACACTAACAACAAGCGCAGTCCATCTCCTATAGTGTCAAACTGTCTGTATACCTGTATACTGTCTATTTATATATATATATATATATATATATATATATATATATATATATATATATTCTTTCTGGTTGTGTACTCTCCACCTTTGCATAGAAAAATGAAAACACAAAGTTAATTACCAATGTAAATGAATATAGTTTTTTCTTTAGTATCTAGCACTATTTGGCATCCTCAAACAATGTATGTAATGTATACCATGCGGCTCAAGCTTCACATCATGCCAGGATAAAAAAAGTCTACAAAACACAACCAGAGCAAACCCAGACTAACGAAATAGTTTTTACATGGCTGACCTGTCGCTCCATTGCTGAATAAATCAGTAATTTTTGAACACCTACATACAGTAACAGGATTTTATTTATTAACAACGGTTTAAGCAGACAAACCAGTCATTAAGGAGAAATTCAACACAATTCATTACCTATAATTTCTCTCAATTTACACTATTTAAAAAGGGCAATACAGTCACCACTAGAAGATGGAATCCGGTCAATAAAAGGACCTTCTAGAGTGGCTATGGCTAAAAATCATTGAGCAATACAATAATAATAGGTGAATCAGGCACGAGTTCCTAAAGAGAGCACTCACAACCCAGCTCAAGGCATACAGTATATGGACAGACACAGTCAAGAGGGCTTAAAAGTACCACCTCACTATGAACCAGTTACCCACCATCAAGCTGTATAAAATTAATTATAATTATAATTATAATATATATAAATTAAATTAAACTGTATAAATTAATTATAACGCTGATGCAAGCAAAGAGAAAAAAAGCAAATTTACACATCATATAAAAACTGTCACAGTGTCACAGCTAAATGGTATTAGCTAGCGGGGGAACCCTACTTGAGACCCAGGTTACAAAGGGCCAGCTTGAGCCCTGATTATATTCTGTATAAATGTCAAATGTCATATACACAATCAGCATATATTTAGGAAAAGCATAAGAGAAAAAAAACAGTGGCTGTTACAGGTACAGCTGACTCTACAATGTGCAATAGTAATGCACTCAAAATCAGTGGTGGACGAAGTACACAAATCACGTACTTGAGTTAAAGTAGAGACACCCAAGGTAAAATATTACTGCAGTAAAAGTAGAAGTTCCTCCCTTTAGACCTCCACTTGAGTAAAAGTACAAAAGTATTTACCTTCAAATGTACTTAAGTATCAAAAGTAAAAATACTAAAAGATTAATTATGACTCTAATGTCCTGTTATCATTTCTGTAACAAGACTCCTTCATTAACTCATTTTAGGTGGAAATACTCCAGTGTCTCTCTTGGTAAACCAGTCTTTTAATAGAATGTCATTAATTAGTGACGCTGATGTCTATTAAAATTATCATAAGCACAAAACACTGAAGGCGAACAGTTTCCATCAGGTAGAACTGAGTGACTCTGAAATCACTTTTTACAAACAAGCAAAGTTTCAGTTTAAGATTTATTTGCAACTTAGTTACAAGTTTAAGTTGAATAAAAACTTTAATCTCAGATTCACAAATGAGTTTCCTTTACTAAACTGCATCTGTAGGTCTCTGTTCAGTGCAAGTGCAGTGACGATATCGGTTTGGAGTTCATGAAGCGATGGTTCACCTTTTATTCTTTTGGGGTGCAGGACCTTTGTGGAATAATCTGCAAGTAATGGTGGTAGGGCCTCCAGAGCATTTCTACTCTACGTTTGCTAAATTGTCAGCTTGCATGCCATCGTCAGTATTCATGTGTTCGGTTGAGTATGAATGGTCTGAGAAAGAGTCTGTAATATTCTTACTTTTGTTCAGTGCTTCATTTGCTGTCCTGTTTTTTTGTTTGTTGTTGTTGTTGTTGCTACATTTAGTTGCAGGGCAAATATCAAAGTATATTTGAGATGAGAGAGGAACTAAGACAAGCGCGTCAGGCAGAACTTAAAACACATCCTCAGCCATCACCGTCTTGTACACCTCCAACCCCCCCATTTACGACATAACGCAAACTGTATGCATCCTTATGGTGGCTGCCTTGGAGGTGCTGCCATCAAGTTAACAGTCCCCTACCTATGCTTTTCAATCCTGCTTGCTACATAGAGATTACTTAAGAACTCTACATGGCTTCAGCAGTGACTGAAGTGAGTAATGATTTTGGCGTACAGTTGGCACCATGCTAATTGGTGGAGTATAAGCTTCCATTGCTTAGCTACATTGGTCTTGTAGCCATAGTCACTAATGTATTGTCGTGTGCTAAATCTACATGACCTAGTCTAACAATACCTTCAGAAGTCAAACATCACTGCACCTTCATTGTCTACTAGACTGAGTTTGAGATTTTTATCTTCTGCATTTCAGGCTAAGTTTGGCAGTGATGCCCCTGATGACCCGTTCAAGATGTTCCAGTCAGAGGGTGGCAAAAATCTGCTCTTTCAGGACTCCACTAAATGTCTCCAAGAGGTTCCAGCAACAAAGGGGTATAAGGAATTCCTGGGCGCGGCCTACGTGGCTGTGATGGATTCTCTCCGCCAGTGTTCCAGCAGTGTGCCAGGTAAAAATGTTCACAATGTACTTAAAGTCATTGGTACCAAACCTACCATATAAGTTTCCTCTTTGATGGTTTATAATCACAGACTGTGGCTTATCTGATACAGTGCAGATTATCAGCCTCCCATCTACACCATTTATCAGTGGAAAGGGACCACCATAGGACCACCACTGACCAGATTTTTTTCCTTCAAAAAATGCAATTCATACTGAAATTAAAGAATGGCCAGGACAGCAGTAAGTGTGGCTCCATGCACTTTATAATCCGATAAACAAACCATCCGTTTTAGTGTCCTGTTCTCTCAGACACTGAAATGTAAAAGTTCCTAAAAGTGAAATAGAAAGTGGTCTGGTGTGCTAAGGACCCTCTCTCTGTCTGTCTTCCAGCTTGAGTAAAATACAGATTAAAACCAGAATATGTCTGCTATACCTTGACTTAATTTCATGATCTACAGCTTGATAAGCGTTTTAATTAAAAGACTTTTTGGGTGTTTACTGCATTTCTCCTTTGTTAGTCAAAAACAGTTTACTTGGGCTTTTGCTTTGACAACCAGATGCAACAATTTTGGGAATAATTTAAAACTTTCGGCCAGTTAAATACAATTGGTTGATATGCTACATTGATATGCAGTCGGATTGCTTCTGTTCACATTTACAGCTCTGGAACTGTTCAGCTGTAACAAAATACAGAGAAGTGTTGTGACGTTTTAATGTTGTGACAGACGAGCGGCTCTGTGGTCAGAAACTGACTATTGATGAAGGTCTAGAGGATCGCTAACACAAACTGTGCACTATTTGGCGAACTACACTCCCTAAATCTAGCTGTCCTAATATAAACTATCCAAAAAATGTTTTTTCTTTTGCCTTTACAGAATTGGAGAAGGCCTGCGCCTTCCACCCCTGCCAGCAGAAAGCATAGAGGGTCCAGACTGTTGAGCAACGCCTGCGTACAAACACACCTGTCTGAAGCTGATTTTAGGCCACTCTCCCACCTCTTACAGCTTTACCTGTCACTCTTTACTCTGACGCTACTGGAACAATATTAGTGTTGCTGGTTTTCCGTCCTTTTTCAGAAAGCTGTCTGAAATAAACACATTGTTTTAAAAAAGTATTTTTCACATTGCTAAATGCTATTGATAGCATCACTGAAGATTCATTAAAACAATGTAACATCCCAAAAAAGGTGTCCCAAAGTAGTTTTAACACCCCACTGGGGCGAATATTGTTTATCAGTAAATGGATTTCACCATTTTGACAAACTGTTCAACAGGAAAATAAAAATGAGTGAAAATGACTGTCATCCATTTGTACTCAACAGGTTTAACACAATCTGCTAAAATGTCCATGCACTGTAAAATCTCTACATTTTGTACAGGGGTGTAAAAAAGGTAGGGATACACAATGATATCGGAGCATCAGCAGATAACGTCATTTAAAAAAATATCGGCACTGGCAGATGTTTAGATTTGACTGACATTTCAAAATAATATTAGATGTTTTTTATTGAACTCCAAAGTGCCGAATGTTGAAATGACACAGGGTTACTGCACTAAAATATCTGCATTTCATTCATTTTACCGCATTTGTAACCCCATAGACATAAGAGTTATGAGTGTTTCTTCATAACGTTAATTCAGCAGCTTATACTTTTTATGCATTAGCAGATATGCATATGAAAAATATCAGATGTCTGCATGCAATTTCCATATTGTTGCATTCTCAGGAAGTCTCATCATCAGAAAAACTGTACTTTATTGAAAGTATGAGTACTTTGTCAAAGTATTTCTCACTTAAAAGTGGAAGTATGGATGCAAAAATATACTTGAAAAGTATCAAAATGGGTCGTTGACATATAATGATTTTGAAATGCTAAATTTTAAAAAGTAAACAGCATATATTTGGCCATTGTCCCAATGGCCATTGTGTACACAAACATTTATATAAAACCAAGCAGTTAGCTCAATTTAGCACTTTTTCATCGAGATTCATTGACTACGAGTTAAGAATCGTCATGTGCTGTGACTGATAATACCTTGCAAATAATACAGTTGCTTAACATACTTAACATTTTGACAAAGTATTACCAGTACAGTAACAAGGGGATTTGATGACCTCTCTGGTGGAAATGCATAACTGCACGCAGCCTGCCGGAGAAATGGAGTGAACCATTTCACAGTGGCGGAGATGAAGCGTGTAATACGCTGCTCAGTGCTCAGGTCCTATTGGTTATCGCATCGCCAACTCCGCCCACTTCACGTCGCCAATGTTTGCACCGCCTCCTGTCGCTGTAAATCGCAGCTCTCATTGAAAATTAATGACCTCCAGCCACTTTGTCGCATCGTGTTGCTGCCCTTGTGAATGCAGGGTTAAGGCCTCAGGCTGCATTTACGCTGCTCGACGCACCGCAACGTATCCCATTCGTTTTCAATGGAAAGTGTCGGTTCTGCCAGACGTAGGCACGCAGTGCGTGATGGGTCCAGTTCGTCGAGCCTGGGGGATGCGGTGCTGCGAAAAGTTGAGCCGAGCTGAACTTTATGCAGATTAATCCAGCCAACGTGATGCGTCTATCCAATCAAAAGATAGCTGCGGTTTGAGCGATAAGTGTTCACAACGCAATAGACCACTGTAGTCGTGTTGTCATTCTGTAGTCCTCGTTATGCCCATATTAGGAACTCCGGGTCTGAGCTCCATTTCTCTATGGCCAGAATGAATAGGGTTTTCGAAAAATCACCTCTATCGCCCCCTGTGTTCAATAAAAATGTTCAGAACCCGATACGCTTTGTCCTGTGAACATTCTTCTCTCGAATATCGCTGGATCCTCTGAATTATGAGGTTGTTAAAGAGGTGAAATATGAATATTGCTACATGTGAGCTAAAGCTACTGTGCTCTGAATTCACATCATTAGACTGACAGCCTCGTTATTCAGGTTATCACCCCCTGATAAACTGATTTCGGCTCTCAGAATATCCTAATTATTATTTTATTATTTTTGCTGGTAACATTTTTTTGAGGACATTTTCTCGGGACATTCGCCAGCTTTTTGTTCGACTTTTCGGGAATTTCGAACAAGCAGCCGTTAGTTTTAGTTTTAACTCATTTTTGCTGTTTCACAGAACTGACAGGTCAGTGTTTTGTCTTGTTTGCTAATGTTTGTGATAGCCAGTCACAGCTGCTGCACCATTTAAGGTGGAACGGGGACATTCAAACAAGAAGCTGCGAAAAAAGAAGCTTAATTCAGCCTCGTAGTTTTAACACGGGTCGTATTTGAGTTTTATCAAAATATCCCATCTAGAGGTTTTATTTACTGGTATACCTGTAATTATGCGCTACAGTAGAACTGGGGGCGATAGAGGCGACTTTTTGCCTCATTCTGGCCATAGAGAAACGGAGCTCAGACCCGGAGTTCCTAATATGGGCATAACGAGGACTACAGAATGACAGTGGTCTATGTCTGAAACATTCCTTCTGGCGGAGCATGGAGAAAAAGCTCCAAACTATTTTAAACCTAGACAATTTAAAATATATGTATAGATATTTGTACTTAATAACACACTAAATTTGTTTTTTGATTATTAGAAAATCAGCACATTTATTGATTAAAATTTGACTTAGCAGGATTTAATTGGATGACGCAGGGAAAGTTTTTGATAACACCCACACGCGAGCTGAAGAGGGGGAGTGCGTTCACGTCCATCGATGCGCTGGAACAGTGTAAATGCAGCCTCAGCGTACTTCTTGTGAAATGAAGTTCTCGAGGGTTGTGCGAAGCTGAAAGCGCCTTCACAAGCTTACGGGCTCGCATACTTTCTGCGGGTTCGTGTTTCCTGTCCCGGATGCTCCATGTCGCTATGACATTTTATGATAAGTTTCATGACTGCTGGAAAACGATTCTTTCACAGTTCTAACTATGGCGGCATTTGAGTTCAGAATACTGCCACCATTTAAGGTGGTACGGGAAAATTGCAACAAGAAGCTGGTTAACTTCAGCCTCGTCTTCTTGTCAAGAGGCTTTTATTGTCATTCCATCTATTTCTCCAGGAACAAAAAGTACAAAAGTACAAAATTGTGAACCTAAATATAAGGTAACCTGTATGTTTTGGTGCTTAATACTAGTTTGTATTATCGAATAACAGACTTAGCATCTGACATTTAGGAGGTATTCATTGTTTATTTAACAAATACGCTTTTCTCAGTGAAATATTGTGTATCTGCCAAAGCCGGATTCCTCAAAGTTGTCCATCTTTGTTTAATGGCACGCCTCCTTTTTACCGACTAATCAGAGGCTCTGTTGCATAGTGTCTTCGTCTGTGGAGTTTGCCGAGCTGCCATGTGCGCGACACGGCGAACGAAGCCTCCATACGACGTCTGCGGTTGTTCGTTTTCTCTGCATCAACGTCATTTTGTTCACTGAAGCCTGGAGAGTATCGTCTCCCCAAGAAGTCTGCTGAGGCCTTTAGATGTAAAGTTGCGCCCAAACTGCCTGTCCACTCATCGCGATAGAAAGAGAGATACAAAGAGAGTGAGCGAGAGAGAGAGAGAGGGAGAGACAATTGTGTGTCCCTGTTCAGGGCTTGGATCCTTCAAAGGACACAGTCTAAAAAGGCGACTCTGTCGAAGGCTGCTTAGACCCGTGAAGGCTGAACCGAAATGAGAAGGTCTGCTCTACGGCGGTTTTCCGTCACAGCACCGCTGTTCCGGCCCTCACCGCTGCGTCACGAAACGCCGCTCCTGTCAAGTTCCTTTAATGTTCTTTAGAGATGGAGAAACTCTGATTTCAGTTGTTTATTGTTTCATTTATTAGAGCTGGAGATGCTTCACCACCGGCTAGTGATGAGATTTATTTATTTTATTTTTTTTACATTCGTATTGTTAGCCTTTCGCCTCCGATTAAACCCAATACTTATATTTAAAAGTGTCTCTTTAGATGCCTTTCGCTTCTCCGTTGATGCCGCCATGTTCTCGAATCCTCGCCAGCATGCAATGAACCTCGGGATATGTTGGCTGGCGAAGGTTGCCATAGAAAAGAAGGACACATTTCACGGCCACATATGAAGGAGTCTTCGAAATGGGACAGCCAATCGGCCTTCAAATGCAGCCTCTGAAGGACGCAGCCCCTGAATTGGGACAGACTGAAAGTGAGGCCAAGGCAGAACCAAAACTGATGGGGCTACAGTTTTAATAACAGCAAAATTACTAAACTGCCAGCAAACTAAAGGCCTCACAGGCACACAATGCTCTCCTCTCTTCACATGTTGCCCGGGTCAGCCTTTTAACTACAAACGACCACCTTCATTCACTCAGCCGCGATTCCAATTGGTGGATGAAGGAATAGCAGTTGACATCTTATTGGAGGGCTGGACGCCACCCATGCAGTCACTGGTTGGATTGCACCTGTTAATAAGTAAGGTCGGGGGGGAAGGTGCCAGGACAACACATATGTGCTGTCCTGGCCCCCCCCCCATCATCAGCAACCATGTTATCAGTACCTTCCTTGTGTCCAGTCTCCATCATGTAATCTTGGATAAGGTTGAGCCCATCGCATCAACCGTTAATTCCTATTATACATCCTGGATAAAAACACTAAAGGGTAATGACCTGTGTGCACTTTCACTGGCAAACTACTTGAACAAACATAACTGTCTAAATGTTGAAGTGCCCAGAGTAACGCTAAAGCCTCTCTCTCAACTGTAGAGTAATTCATTTGATGTTTATTAAACTTGTGTGAGTAACAACACACAGGATGAACCACACCATTGCCGTCTTCTTGCAAGTGAACTGCACCAGCACCGACTGCACTTGCATCGACCTCTAACTGAAATGGTTTAGCAAAATCAGGGGCAGCGAGCACGAGTGCTTCACTTAAAAGCACTTTAACCTCTGCTGACAGAAAGAGAATTCAAAGAGAACTCAGTCTAAACTTGGTGAGGGACGCGTCTCTCAGATTGTGAGTGAATTATCTACTACTGTCATCACATCTTCATCAGCATGATGTTGATTTTGAGATCATTTGAGGCCGAAACTTCGAGCCGGACCTTCTTTTTGAGTCTGTGTGTGACGTTAATACGTAAAGACGTACGACGTGGTGTGAAAAACTCGACCCGGCGTCCCGATGATTATTTCAGGCTTTACAGGGCGACTCACAGCAGCGCATGCTGACCATATTTTAGCCTGTTTT